CACACCCTTCCCAAATAACGCCATCACCTGAGGACTATGTGTTTAAGCACATGAGCCCATGGTGGGGGGCACTCACAATCAAACCACTAGATCCTTTTTCTCTTTCAACCTGCCCTATTTTGCTTATCACTTTAGCATAATTATTGCTCTCAACAGAGGGCATGCCTGTTCTCAAATCACCAAGAAAATAGCAAAAATGTCACTGCACACTACATAATATGAATTGTAGCTTTAATGAACCACCCTCCCTTCCTGGAATCCTACCATGCCACAATGCAGGGGGAAAAAGCGAAGAAAGGAAAACGAATCCATCAAGAGTTTAGACAGCACATGCAGGTGTGATTCAGGTGTACAGGCAGACTGGCTGGTTGGTTTCCGGGTCACCCAGGCCCTCCGCGGGATGAGCTGGATTCTGACTGGATTCCATATAGAGCTGAGATGGGCAGGGGCTGCCAGCTTGCTTTCCCATGGCTAATCTGTGGCTGCTGGTAAACCTATAAGCCTACGCAATGGGTTCCGGTGCTTGGATCCCCAGAGAAGGCTGAGAACACAGAAATGTGGAGTGTCGGGTTTCCTAGGTACTCGAGGGATTAGACTGACAAGTGAAGAAGTATTAGTCTGGGGCAAAGATCTGGGGGATTCTCAGAGGCAGCGACCGGGAGGATGTGGGCTTTGAAGTCTGTCTGGAATTCCACGGCCGGCTCTGCTTTCACTAACGTGCGGCCATGAGCAAGCAGTTTCACTCCTCAGAGCTTCAGTATTCTGGTCTAGAAATGAGAACTTATGCAAATTTATTATGAACCAAGTGATTATAATAACCTTACAAAGACCTTGTAACTATCAAGATGATACAGTACCATATTGGAATACGAGGCACCCAATACTTGGTCACCATGACGATGATGTTTTGCTTATCTAGATGATGAATCTTAGTCACCGATCTTTGTCCCTGCACTGGTCTGGGCACTGAGAACAAATTAAGACAGGCATAAGTCAAAGTTCTCACAGTCTAACATTCAAGTGAAAGACAGGTAATCAGTAAGATATATAATAAAAATTACTGATCATGGGTTTGGTGGCATGGCCTAGCAGGTATTTGCTGCCAAGCCTGACTTCTGAATTCCAGCCCTGAATCGCACCTAGTAGAAAGAGAGAACTGGCTTCTCTAGTTATTCTCTGATCTCCGTGCACACATATGCCAACCTACATACATGCATATGTACATAAATGTTAAAAATGTGTATACATATTAAGTGCTGGTCATGGAGTAAGCTAAGGGAGATGCAGTTGGAAGGAAGATGAAGGTTTAGGCAGGCATGGCTGTTGGTATAGCTCAGTACGAGGGCACTTGAATCCAGATGCAAGGCTCGGTTCCGTCTCTAGCACTGGGGGGACATGGAAGCAGTAGGGGCGTAGTTGGGAAATGCCGCTTTCAGCTTGGACATGATGATAAAGTCAGGTGATCACTTGGGCAGAAAGCCTTCCAGAAGGAGGCAACCTCAGACAGATCCTGAAGTGAGGCTATGCCATAGCCCACCAGTCTTCCACCACAAGGAGAGAGCTGACTCCGTGAAGTTGTACTCTGTACTCTGGTACACAGCTTCCCCCCTACCCCCTCCACACACACACACACACACACACGCACACACGCACACAGGCTGACTTGGCTGTTATCAGTTTGTCACCTCAACAGCTCAATTTATCATTTGTTATGATGGAGACAATATTGATACAGTCAGTCACAGCTGTGTTCTAGCCAGTAGCTTCAACTTGCTTGGCAACCATGTTTATTACCAAATCATCAACAAACATTGAGTCCACTGGCTTGGCGCTAGCAAATGGACAGGCAGAGAAGGGCTGGCAAGCGTGAGGCAGGGAGAGCTGTGGGTGTTCTAAAGCGCAATCAGATAAAACATCAGCCTTCATTTAACCTGAATGGCTGGCATGTGGCAGACATGGGCTCCACACTTATAAAACTAGCTCCATTCAAAACCCAGGCTCGGTCTGCCGGGTGAGACTCCCCTTTTTGGAGTACAGTCCTGGTAGATCCCAGCACCAAGCAGTGTTCCTCCCTTTCCTAGAAATTGCCTGGCCTCCCAGAGAGAGTTGTTTCCACGGGTCAGCTGAAGTGCCCTTAAGATAAGAAAAAAATCCAGCTTGTTTTCCCTGGGCTGCCTCTCTGGCACCAGCATTGTTAGTTAAAGATGTGAACTATACTAAAAATGTTCTAGAATGTAGAGTCCGGGAAAGAGGCTCCTCCCCGGGTCTCAAAGAGTGCTTAGCAATGTTAGATGCTCAAAAAACACGCGTGAATGGATGAAAAAAATTAAAGTTTTTTTTTTCTCTCTCTCTCTCTTTAGTTTCTAACCTGTGGAGTTTAAAACCAGGAAATAGGATGTGGTCAGAAAGATGGAGGGAAAAGGCGGGACCGAGGCTTCTCTCTAGACAGTAGAAGTTGCTCATAGGAGGCGTGGTCGAGATGCATGGAGTCTGTCTGGGTTGACAGGAACCCCTGTCATAGACTAGAAACACGAAAGGCAATAGAGAGCCAGGTACTAAAACTATAGGCTCAGGCTTGTGCAGAGGATCCATGTTGGAACAAAGATTTAAATGTATCTCTGGTGATAGTGAAAGCCCGGAGACATGAGTCACCGAGAGATTGTGTGGGGATGTTGGAGACTGAGGGGTAACCTAGTAACAGGGCACGAGTCTCTGGGATCACTCCCAGCAACACAAAACAAAAGCGTGTAAGTAGCTGCCCAGTGTTTTACTAAGAAATACCTTTTCAAAACACGGTCTCAGCCTCAGCTTCTCCAGTTTCGTAAGTTAATATGTTAATTAACCTTTAAAAAGTAAGCATTTGGGAGGCTGGAGAGTTGGTTCAGTGGTAAAGAGCATGGGTTCCTCTTGAGTGTGACCTGGGTTTGATTCCTGTCACCCACATGGTGACTCACAACCGTTTGTAACTCTAGTTTCTGGGACGCTGACCCCCTCTCCTGACCTCCAGACACCAGGCACGTGCATAGGGAACGTACGTACACTCGGACAAAACACTGAGGCACATAAAGTAATAAATCAATTTAAATTTAAAAATATATATGTATACTAAGGTAAGCGTCTGGGAGCGGAGACGTAACTCAGTTGGTAGAGGGCTTGTCTAGCATACACGAAGCCCTAAGTTTTCTATCCAGCATCACAGAAACTGATGTGGGACAGCCTCGACCCCTAGCGCTGCGGAGTGGGTCTGAGTTCAGCCGGGGGTATGGTAGATTTTGCCTCAAAAAATAAAACAGGTAAACATGTTGAGTGAAGATGGAATTCAAATAGCACTTACCTAGCGTTGTGTAGGGCCCCGAGTTCCAGCCCCAGCCCCGTAAAACATGAGACAGTAGTAATAATAAAATGTTTGTTTTGTCTTGTTTTCTGGGGTATGGCAGTGAACACCTTTAATCTCAGCACTAAAGAGGCAGGGGCAGGTGATCTCTGTGAGTTCTGGTCCAGCCTGGGCTACATATCAAATTCCAAGTCAGTCAGAGCTCTATAGTTAGAACTTGTCTCGATAGATAAATGACCTATTTAGCTATTAAAACATTTTTTTAAAAAGCAATAAAAAGTAAACAGTTTATACCTAAAAGTGAAGTGTGAAGAATTTCTGGGGAACTCTGTAAATATGAGAAGTGGGGGAGGGGCTTGGAATGTAGCTTAGGCCCCTGGGTGGAAACAACAGAGGACAAAAAAGAGGTAGACAGATGAAGCTCTCCAGCTCTCTTCCTTCTAGTGCTTGTTTTCCTCTCAGCCCTCAGGGAACATGAAGGACACTCTGGCGACAAGCTCTCTCCTGCTCTCCTCTTCTAACTTACAGAAAACGAAGGTTTGCTTTGCTGTTACTGGAGTTTTTGGCAGTCTTGGTGCAAAGGCCTGGGTGCCCTGGTGTTCAGTGTGCAACCCAGCCTGGCCTGGACTTGGAGTGAACCTCCTGCCTCGGCCTCCTGAGTAACGGGCTCACAGGCGTGAACCACCCTCCCGGCTCCTTTGCTTTTTATTGTATGTAATGTACTTTGGTCGCATTCCCCCTGCTCCCCTTTCTGACCCCTCTCTCTCTGTCCCACTGGTCTCTGTTGTCTTCCAAAATAGCCCCTTTAAAAAACTGAGATTCCCCACATGGAAAAAAAGTGTGCTCTCTCTGAGCCTGGAACAGGATGGCGCCCAGTTACCTGAAAGATGATGCAGACGTTCTTCACGGCTGAATGAGACTATTGTGTATGCGGCCCGTATTGTCTTTATCCACTCATCCACTGTGGATTCTAAACTTGATTTTCTTCTTCATATAAATGCTGACCTCAGGTCCATTTAATTCAAATTGCTGGTAAATTACGCAGTCAGAATTCAGTTCCACAACCTGCACTTGGGGAGAGCCCGATCCACTGTGGTCAGCACTCTGTGCCCTCATCTTTTATCTGCTTGCTCAGTATTTTGTTCGAATCTTAGACAGCCAGTAACTAAGATGATAAGTCTATCATCTTTGAACAGCAGGGTCTTCACGCTGGGTGACTTGTGAAAACAGTGGCTTCCACTTTCAAAAGTTTCATATGGTGGATCTAGCAGATTAAAGGCCAGCCTGAGCTACATGAGATTCTGTCAAAACACAAAAACCACCTTGACTTCTAAAGGAATAAAAACAGAAACTCCAAGAGGATTTGGAGAGGGGACGAGGGTGTCCAGAGGGCCCTGGGTTTGTGGCCTCCAGGTGAAGGCCACATTCATCCATTCAACTGTTTGTGAGGGCCCTCTGTGGGCAGTCAGGGTCACAGGCGCTGGAGAGAACAGATAACAGGGGCGAGCCCTTTACTTCCTCAAGATTGTGCTTGGGCTGGGTGCAAGGGGCATGGCTGCCGCTCGTCCGCCCTGCTCTGCGTCTGTCCAGGCATGACTCAGAACAGGGGAACTGACCCCAGGCTGGACACAAGTTCACTGTGGTGCCCTCTCATCTCTCTGAGCAGATTGAAGAAGGGGGGAAAGCTGACGTGGTCAACTCCGGACTGCAAGCTGGGGACGAAGTCGTGCACATCAATGAGGTGGCACTGAGCAGTTCCAGGAGGGAGGCAGTTTCCCTGGTGAAAGGGTCCTACAAGACCCTCCGGCTGGTGGTGCGCAGGTAGGTGGGCTGGTACCCCTCCCCCTATCCCTTCCTGCACTGCCTGACATGCTGCATAACCTATCTTTAATGTCTTAGTGAGGGACGTGCTGTCTGGGTTAGGGTGGTTTTTTTTTTTTTTTCCTTTCTTCTTGCCTATGCTGTGGGATGGGACAGAAAGTGAAGTGAAGACATTTGGACACGGTTTGTCTCTCTTCGAAACCCTCCCCCATTTTCCGAGTTAGTTTTGGCTTGTCACAGAGGAACTTCACTGTCCTTCCTAAATTCTAGGTTTGATGGCTACTAGCACATCCTAAGTGTGGCTGAAGCTCTAAGCAGCCCTGTGTTCTGGACCTAGAGAAGGTGGTTGACTAGTTTAGGTGATTTGGTTAGCTGTGCCTAGAACTCAGAGCTGGAAAACTGGTGGAGTCCTCTTGTTTAGACATCTTAGGAGTGATGGATTCTTTTTTGGGAAAGGCTTGCTTGTAATTTTTTAAATTAATTGATTATTTTGTGTGTGTGTGTGTGTGTCTGTGTGTATGTGTACGTGTGTGTGTTTATATTAGTTTATATGTACCATATGCATGCAGGAGCACAAGGAAGCCAGAAAAGGGTATCTTTTAAAAAATATTTTTTATTGATTATTTGGAAATCTCACATGCACCTCTATCATGCTCACCTCCCAGTCTTCCATGTCTGCTCTCCTCCCCCATGACCTCCCCGCCCCCCGAAAAGAGAAAATCATGGTGCGGGAGAATTGTCTGTATTCTGTCAATCATATTTTAAATAGACACTGATTGACCAGGCAGGAAGTGTAGGTGGGTCAACCAGACAGGAAGTAGAGGTGGGGCAATGAGTACAGGAGTATTTTAGGAAGCAGGAAGCTCCCTCCGCAGTTCTGCCCAGACCACCGGAGGGACAAGATGTAAGCTGCCCTGCTGAGAAAGGTACTGAGCCATGTGGCTAACATAGATAAAAATAATGGGCTAACATAAGTTATAAGAGCTAGTAAGTAGCCTGAGCTAATGGACCAATCAGTTTATAATCTTATGGAGTCCTCTGTGTGATTTTCTTTGGGGCATGCCGGCTTGTTGGGGTACCAGGTGGGACAGAAACCCCAACAAGCTGGCCCTTCATGTTACAAAATCAAATCCATTTTATGTTGTACATTTACTTACCGGAGCCTGGTTAAATTCTTTGTAACTGCCTCTTTGTCCACCTGTATCCATGCCAGAAACTATCAACTGAGGAGATCCGTGCAGTGGCTGGAGAGGTGTGGGGCCAACTCTCCCTCTAGGGGCAGGAAAAGGGTATCTTAATCCCCTGGAGTTACAGAGGTTGTAAGCTGCCATGTGGGCGCTGGGAACTAAACCCAGGTCCTCTGCGAGAGTAACCAGTATTCTTAACCGCTGAACCATCTCTCCAGCCTGTGGCTTGCAGTTTTGATGTCTCACAGTAACAAGGTGTTGAAGTCCAGGAATCAACTCTTGGTGAACGGAATTATCTATGGAAAATGAAAGAGACTTGGCTTATTCATCCCTGTTATAAACCAAGCCCATCTGAGTTATATTCCCTATGCAGATTCATTTCATCTACACTAGAAGCCCAAGAGAGGATTCCAGAGGGAAGGCTCAGAGGATAAAGGTGTCTGCTGCCAAGCCTGATGATCTGAGATCAATTTCCAGGAACCAAATGACAGAAGGAAAGAACCAACCAGATCCTGAAAGTTGTTGTCTGACCTCCACACTTGGTGACATAGTACACACATGTGCATACATAGATACACATAAACAAATGTAATTTTAAACTGATTTGAAAAGAAAGGCCTCTTCAGGTAGCTCTCACTATGGCCACTTTGCAGGCAGGAGATAAGATAAGTCCCTGAAGTTTGTGGGGCTAGCAAGGCAAAAAGTCAAGTAGCCCAGACTGCTGGTCCTGTGTCCTCTGCCTGCAGAGAAGCATTACCTGGAAGTCCTGAGACATGAGCACACACATTTGTAAACATCTCTTTACTAACAGAGTTTTCCCTGCCTCCCTTGGAATATGTTACACGATTTGAGAACATTCTCCTGCACTGATTAGGGGACACCAATCAAGCTCCACTATTTTCAAACTGTGGAAGGTAAAGTGGCTTTCTGTCCCCTCAGAGGGTCTCTCATGAGTCACCTTGCTCCTGCCTCAGCTCATTCTGTCATAGGAGTCATTTCCCTGGCGAATCCAGAAAACCTGCACGCTGTGTCTCCGTGGTGATGACTTCGCTCAGTGTGCGGGTGCATCTGCTCGCTCTTGGGGCTGTCAGCCTCAAGTGGCTTCTCTGGCTGTCAGTGGTACAGAGGCTGTAAGGTCAGAATGGAGCAGGGTGCAGATGCTGTGGTCATCACCTGCTGTGCGATTACGTAACTTCAGTGAAGATCCAGTTTCTTCCTTGCTCTTGTCAGTGTTGTTTGTTTGCTTGCTTACAGATAGGGCCCCCACGTAGCTGGCCTAGAATGGAAAATCGAGTCAAGGCTGGTCTTAAACTGAGCTCTGTGTCTTTACCTTCCAGGTGCTGGGATGATAGGCAAATGCCAGCCTATCTCTAGTTGTTGTTGTTTAATATTTATTTATTTTTATGTGTGTTTTGCCTGCGTGTGTGTATATGACCCATGTGCCTGCAATACCTAAGGAGGCCAGAAGAGGGTGTTAGGTTCCCTAGAACTGGAGTTACAGGTGGTTGTGAGCTGCCAGTTCTCTGCAAGAGCAGCAACGGCTCTTAACCATGAAGCATGTCTCCAGTCTAAATATTTATTTTCAGACAGCATCTTACTATAGTTTCTTCATCTTTAAATGAGGCTTAAAATACCTGCTTTATGTCATGAAATGAAAATGAAAATATCATGGTGTGATCTCTACCAAATGAGAGGTGGCTAAAGAAAATGCGGTGTATATATACCAACAGCTCACATTCACATATGTAAATCGTTAATGCATACATACACACACTGGGACACTCTTCTGCACCAAAAGGAAGGCTATTATACCATTTACAACATATGGAAACAGGAGAACATTATGTTCTCCACATACCAAGAAGAATAAAGACTTACTCCGATCTCCTGTAATGAGGAGAATCCCTAAAGGCAGAAAGTAGAATGGTAGCAGCCTGGGCTGAAGCCTGGGGGAACCGCAGAGAGGTCAGAGGGCGCAAACTTCAGGTGAAAGAGGCCAGCGGTGGTGACACTTGTGTCCTTCAGTGGGCAAGTGGGAGTATGATAAGCTTGAGGGCCGTGTAGTGAATCTTAGGCCGCTGGGTCAGCTGGACCCTCCCTCCAAAAACCCAGCCAACTGACCAACCACGACAAGCAAGTTCTAGGGACATGAGACGTAGCCTGGTGACTGCTATTGCTGAGACTGTGTTAAATATTTGCAATTTGCTGGGATAACTCTTAATGTCTTCACCGCGGATAACTCGTAATGTCTTCACTGCAAGAGTGCCCGAGTGCACCGACCACACCCACACGCATGCGAGGATCATAATAGGGGGTGTGGTAATGTGTATATTGATTAATTTGATTGTAGTAATCATTACAGAATGCATACATACACCAAATCATACCATTAGCCATCTTGAATATATATAGTTTCTTAGTAGAGAGGACTCTAAGCATTGAACCTAATCTTCACTCATGTTGAGAACACGCTCGACAGAGCTACCCCCAATGCCATTTCTATACAATATTTGTTAGTTGTAATTCACTAATATTGTTATGGGGGGGTTGACATACTTTACGAGGTAATCGAAAAGAGAGTATAGTCTCTGTGGTATGTGTGTGTGTATGTATATATATATATATGTATATATATATATATTTCTCAAGCTATATATATAAATATTATATATAATACAAATATATATTATATATATAAAGCATAGTCTCTGTGGTAATAAGACATACTTCTACTTTTTATATTATTATTGTCCAACTCTAGACATAAGCATGTTTTCCTAGGTCAAGATTTAAGGGCCCATGAGATGGCTCAGTGGGTAAAGGCCTTTGTTACCAAGGTTTACAGCCTGAGTTAAATCTCTAGGACCGACCATCCCGTGTGAAGAAGGGGAGAGTAGACTTCTGCCGGTGATCCTCTGACCTCTCAGCATGTCATGGTGTGCATACATGCACACCAGCACAGTAAATGCATAGGTACATGTAATCAATTCTTTGAAAGGCTTAAGTGAAGCACACAGCCAACTCAAACATGGTGGCTGAGTTTTCAGATGGGTAGAAAGGCTTAGAATCATGGGGCACGCACCTTCCTTCCTTCCTTCCCTCCTTCCCTCCTTCCCTCCTTCCCTCCTTCCCTCCTTCCTTCCTTCCTTCCTTCCTTCCTTCCTTCCTTCCTTCCTTCCTTC